TGTTGTTATAAGATGCAATTTTGAAAGTTTTATGCTTTAATTTATGAAATATCTGGTGGCATGTTACAATTGATAATGTGTTTATTGCAAAATACCTCTAACAAAAAAAAATTACTCCCTCCATTAAAAAATATAATATATCCTTAACTAAATATTATTCCCAGTAAAATAATTATTTATTTTTAAATTAATATCATCTTTTCATATTTAATAGGGTGTTTCACTCTAAAATCAATATAAAATAATTTATTTATTCAGGACACTTTTAAAAAAAGTATAATGATTACATCTTGAAACATTAAAAATATTTTATATTTTTAAATGAAGAGAACTCAATTTCCATTAATTTGGTTCATTCTCTATTAAAAAATTAATTATATTTTGAAAGATTGAAATGTTTTAATAGCATTAATCAATTGCATTAGTTTATGTAAATTCGTTTAAAATGATTCATAGTAGCAATTGGATGAAGTATCACATATTGATTAATATGCAATTGACATATTTTTCTTTATACTTTTTTTATATCCATATTTTCTGTATACTCCCTCATTCCAGAATTATAGGTGTTCAATTTGTATCTTTTCTAATTGGCTCAGTTCTGTCTAGGTCATATAAGGACGGGTTTCATTCAGACTTAAAAATAATCGAGATGAGACAGGACAAGGGATTACCCGCGAGATGTCCCATCTTGTCCTGTATCAAATATTATATAGATATATATTATTTTTATTTTAAAAATATATATTAAATATATTAATATAATTTATACTTATATTAATTATAATTTCAATGCTTGATATTCTTATTTAAAATTAAAAACTTTTTATATTAATAATTTTAATTATATAGAATAAGCAGTACATGTTAATGTTTTTCTTTACAATATATTAATTATATTAATGTAACTTATTATTATACCTACTTATTTAATAATTTTTATTTATATCGTATTTCTTATTTTATTTTTAAAAGAGTAACTATCTTAACATATTTCAACTAAAGAAAAAGAACAATAACTTGTGTTGTGTCGGACTTATCTATTATTGTTATTCTTATAGCCTAAAAATTACTTATATTATTATCATAATGTAATATGTCTCGTGTATACTTGACTTTAACTTGTACATTTGTAGCTTTGATTGACGTAATTCAATAATTATTATGATTTTTGTACTTATATTGTTTTAATTTTAAACTTAATAAGTTATGTAATTTAAAATTTTAATTAATGAATATTATTATTTTAGCTTTTCTCTCACTTTGTATGCTTTAGCGGGACAGCAAGACACAACAGAATATGAGACAAAAATTTTAATCCTGATAATTTTTTGGAACAGGACATAGAATAAGAGTGTCTTGGTCATGTCCCATCTTATAAACACCCAGCAACGCTATTCAAAATTGAGGTTCTTTTAGAAGAAAATTTTTGTTTTATTTTACATGATCTTTAAAATGTTAAAGACAATGCTTATTGTTACTCTTTTAACTATCCCTTTAAAAAAAAATTATTGCATCATTTATAAATACACTTATTTCTTTGTTTCCTTTATATAAGATACAAAATGAATTAAGACAAAATTTAAAAATATAAAATATACTCTGTATTAAAAAAAGTAATACTTCTGATTTTTATTTTTAATTATCTTATTTTATCAGCTCATAGTTGTGGGAAAAAAAATTAAGATCCAGAAATTCTTAATATTATTCCATCTAAATTTTAATTAAAAATTTTCTTAAAAATATTTTCATCACCTCGTGATAATATTATAATATAGTCAAGTTCTTTGACAATTATATAAGTTTTGAATATCTTTATTTTCATCACCTCGTGACTGAAAAGAAATGATCGAGTTAATGCCTCCATTATTTTTACATTTTTTAAGTCTTCTACTTTTCAGCTTCACGTTTTAATTTTTGCTTTACAATTTCTCATGCCTTCTTTAGACCTTCCGTACAGAAAATTATATTATTCTTGACTTTAAGAGTTTAAGTTATGGCCTTCGATATTCTGAAGTTGAAAATAGTATATTTTGTTGCAGTGCATGGTGAAAAGTAAAAACATTTTAAAACCAAAATAAAAATGAAAACTGAAAGGAAGAAAAAAAAAGAAAAAAAAGTGTTAGCCAAACCCTTGAATCTTAGAGTACATTCTAATCGTTTTTTATTATAAGATACAATGTTGAAAGTTTTATGCTTCAATTTATAAAACATCTGGCGGAATGTTAATATCGATAATGTCTTTATTGCAAAATACCTCAGACAAAATAATTACTCAATTCCCATTAAGCTGGTTCATTCTCTCTCTCTCCTCTCTCTCTCTCTCTCTATATATATATATATATATAAATCAATTATATTTTGAAAGATTGAAATGTTTTAGGAGCATTAACTAATTGCATTAGTCTATGTAAATTTGTTTAAAATGACTTGTAGTAGTAATTGGATGAAGTATCATATATTGATTAATATGCAATTGACATATTTTCTATATACTCCCTCACTCTAGAATCTAGGTTCTTTTAGAAGAAAATTTTTGTTTGAAAAAATTAATTATTAGTTTTTATAGTTTTAACCCAATTATAACTCAGTTCTTAAAATTTGACTCGTTATAACTCAATTTCTAAATTTTTGATTCGGTTGTAAATCAATCCCTAAACTTTACCTCTTACAATTTAGTTCCTGAAATTTCAATTTCTTAAATATTAGTCTCTATAATTTTAAAAATAAAATTATAAAAATTAAAAATATTTTAAAATTTTTTACTAATATTTTAAATTACTAAACCCTTTTAATATTTATAAGTACTAAAAGTTCAAAATATTTTTAATTTTTGTAATTTTATTTTTTAAAAATATAGGGACCGATATTTAAGAGGTTGAAACTTCAGGGACTAAATTATAAAAAATAAAGTTTAAGGATTGATTTACAAATGAGTCAAAATTTCATAGATTGAGTTATAATGAGCCAAAATTTAAAAACTGAGTTACAACTAAGTTAAAATTATAAAAATCAAATGATTAATTTTTTTTATTTTTCATGTTCTTTAAAAATTTAAATACAATGTTTATTGTTACTCTTTCCACCATTCCTCTATTTTTTTTAATTTTAATGCGTCATTTATAAATACACTTATTTCTTTGTTTGCTTTATATAAAACACGAAATGAATTAAGAAAAAATTTTAAAATATAAAATATACTCTGTATTAAAAAAATTAATACTTCTGAATTTTTGTTTAATTATCTTATTTTATCAGCTCATAGTTATAGAAAAAAAAAATTTAAGATCCAGAAATTCTTAGTATTATTCTATCTAAATTTTAATTAAAAATTTTCATCACCCGTGATAACATAGTCAAGTTCTTTGAAAATGATTTAAGTTTTGAATACCTTTATTTTCATCACCTCGTGACTGAAAAGAAACAATCGAGTTAATACCTTTATTATTTTTACTTTTGTTGAAGTCTTCTACTTTTCAGCTTCACGTTTTCACTTTTGCTTTACATTTTCCAGAGCCTTCTTTAAACCTTCCTTACGTATTTTTTTGGTGTTTGGTAAGTTTTTGTTTTTTGTTTTTGAGTGTTTATTTTGAATTTGACTATTAGTGTTTGTATTATTTTCTTTTAATGATTAATAATATTTTTTTTGGATAAAAAAACCTTCTTTATGTAAAATTATATTATTTTTGACTTGAAGTTATGCTTGTCAATATTCTTAAGTTAAACATACAGTATTTTATTGTAGTGTGCATTATGAATAGTAAAAACATTTTAAAAACAAAATAAATATGAAAACTGAAAGGAATCTAGGTTCTTTTAGAAGAAAATTTTTGTTTTATTTTGCATGTTCTTTAAAAAGTTAAATACAATGTTTATTGTTACCCTTTCCACTATGCCTCTTTTTTTTTTATAATTTTAATGCGTCATTTATAAATACACTTATTTCTTTGTTTGCTTTATATAAAATACAAAATGAACTAAGAAAAAAATTTAAAAATATAAAATATACTCCTTTGAGTGATCCGAGACATGTAACTTTTCAATGTCCCTTCGGGAACGTCCGACAAAATCTTACATTTCAATTGCTCTGTATTAAAAAATTAATATTACTGATTTTTATTCATAAGAATCTTATTTTATCAGCTCATAGTTATGGAAAAAAATTTGAAGATCCAGAAATTCTTAATATTATTCTGTCTAAATTTTAATTAAAATTTTTCATAAAAACATTTTCATCACCTCATGATGATATTATTATATAGTCAACTTCTTCAAAGCTTAAAATATAATTTAAGTTTTAAATTGTTGCTTTTTTTAAGATCATATTTGATTGTTAGAAAGAATAAGAATGTGATTTATTGAAAAAATAAAATAAAAATAAATTAAATTATTATTTTTCTATATAATCATGATAAAATTTGATATTATATATCATAAATATGAGAATTATTATACTCTTTAAAAATTTTATTAATCATAACTTTTAATTTCATAAACTAAATCATCATTTTTCCTTATAAATAGATTCCTCAACATTTTGATGATTTTATTTATACTTTTATTTTTTTTAATATATTCCATTCTTTTGTACTAATCAACCTTAGTAGCAGTACTATCTCCCTCTTCTTATAAAAATTTGAAGTTTAAAACTAGCATTTACATGCTTACGTGTATAGGTGGATTTGTACGTCTTTTTTTATTGGGGGGGGGGGGAGGGCTGCACGAGTGGTAAAATTATGTGGAAAAAAATTAAGTTTTAAAATTGGTCAATGGAAGGAAATCCTGTGGATCAGTGGATAGAAATCCTAAAAATTTATTTTATTATAATTATAATTGTAATTTGTGTATGTTCTGTGTATGAGTTGATCCACGTGCCATGCTCGTGCAGACTCACCCTTCTCTCATCAACACACGGTGAAATCACGCTCCTACACGTCACCAGCTCGCATATGCCCCGGCATCTATAAATCTCCCTCTCGGATCCAACCCGCATATCCCTCTTTGTCCATTCCACGTTTCCACATTTCTCTCTCTCTTGTCAAATTTTAAGAAGCTGTGCAGAAATAATCTCTCTAGAATATTCTCCAGAAAATTCCTCCACACTCTCCGTTAAACCCTTCATCGTCGACACCTCTATAAGAAGCGCCTAACCTTCACGGTTTCAGAATTCACATTTCGGACTGAACTTGACTCTCCCGTCACGATATATACAACCCAATACAATTCTTAAATCGTTCATCTGGGTACAGAGCTTTTGCTTTCGCTCTGTTATAGGCACAGTTGGGTTTTAATTGTCTTTGCAGCTCGAATCAATGGTGGATCTCACGAGAAAGAAGCGGGTCACAGACCCTCTTGACGACGACGCCAAGGCTCGTCTCGTCGGAGATTATCACCGGCAATTTAGTTACGGGAGCAGCGGAAGCGAACATTCCGGAGATGGCGACGGGGACTCGCTGTGTCTTTCCGAGCTCGTGCTCGATTTCCTGGAGGACAACGAGGTTAAGTGTAAGTCGGAGACTAATGAGTTGGACCCGGATCGGGTCGACGTAGAGGACGATGGATCGGAGCTGATTGACGATATGATACGAAGATTGAGTGTCGCCAACAACATGGATTCTTACCAGAAGCTGCTTCTCACGCACGTTTCAGAGGCGGTGGAGGAATTTGAGTTTCTTCGGGGAAACGTTTCTGTGTTCCTGAGAAATGTGATGGGGTTTCTGAGAGAGAAAGGACACAATGCAGCGATATGCAAGACCAGGTGGGATTCATCCAGTGGAGTTACCGCCGGTAACTACGACTTCATTGACGTGATCCAATCTGGTTCATCATCGTGGCAGAGCAGGTACTTCGTTGACATCGATTTCGCCGCCCAGTTCGAGATTGCTCGGCCGACTTGCAAGTACTCGGAGATTCTTTCCTCTCTTCCCAGCATCTTCGTCGGCACGGCGGAGGAGCTAAAACGCATCGTTCAGGCCATGTGCAACGCTGCAAAGAGATGCTTTCGGAGCAGAGGACTCTCTGTTCCGCCCTGGAGGAAAAACCGATACATGCAGAAAAAGTGGTTCGCGCCGTATCGCCGAACCACGAACCCGGTTCAGGCAAACACCATTCCGGTCGTCGTTCCTGCCATGACCGGCGCAAATTGCAGATTGGTTGGTTTCGACGACGTGTGTTCAGAAGCCAGACACGGCGGCGTTTTTGTCCCGACGAGATGATAGAATGGCAATTTTTGTAAATATTTTAGGGCCACAGGGCAAATCTGTGAAATCGATGTGCCTTTTGATTTTTGAGGACTTTAATGTTTAAAAAACATTTGAGTGAAATAAAAAATTAATAATAGTGAGTGGATAATTCATAATTATTACTTGGGCAGTGCATGCGGCGAATCCAAATCGTTTGTTAAGCGGCGAACGGGAGGCTGGATCACATGCAAACGCGACCATTATTAGAATTTAGAAACTCCCAGACGTGTCTCGATTCGTCCAACTCATGATTGTTTTGGATGATCGTAAACGGACAAAGAGACTGGGATCCACAGGACCAGTGGAGCCAGATATATATATTTATTTTTGGGGAAAAAAGCCTGAGATGAATGTGATTGGATGGTAGTGGATGACGTGGCAGAATTATATGTACACACATATATAGGCCAATGGCAATAAAGACATAATTATATTTTATTTTCGATGTGCCCAATGGTATCCAAGGGCATTAGATGGGAGAAATTTTAAGGTAAATTAGAGCATCATATTATTTATAATCTATTTAATAAAAATATAATATTTAAATATTATTAAATATAAATTAATTTTAATATTAATAATATTAAAGGAAATATAAAAAATTAAATTTATATTCTGTTATAAAAATAAAATTAATTAAAATATTACATAAAATTTTATTTAAATTATTTAAAATATTTTAATTAAATAAATTTGTAATGTGATATACTTGATTCACCTAATTATTCCTCTCCTGGTGATGGTTCGGTTAGTGGGTAAGGAGAGAACAGCTGTCAGATGTGGGGCCCGGTCTACGATTTTTGTATGTCTCCTCCATTAAAGTGGCCCCCAGGAAAGTAAAAGTTGGGAGTGGTTAAATTTTTTTTTTTTTTTTGAGTGCATAGTTGGATAATATTTAGTGGCAAGATAAGGATTTTCTTGTTTAACATTTTGATAATGATAAGTACCATATGTTCTTCTAATTAAGCCGAGTGAAGAACAATATATGCCCTCGAATATAATATGATGTAGACATGTAGCATCTTATCCTATCTTATCTTATTTTATATATAATAAAATATAAAGTTTTTCACTATTCATGAACAGTAGAATGAATGGCGATACTGGAGCCGATAATTTTTTTTAAATGTAATGACTTTTTTTTTTAACATTTTTATGTTTATTGATAGTGGGGGCCACATTAACTCATATTTTTTTACTTTATTTTATGCTCTCAATGTTTTTTGTTAATGAGTCTTGTAGTTAGATATCATGATATATAAATATAAATATGATAAGAATAATTTATAATAATAATGATTATTCAAAAAATAATTGTATGATATGATACTCCATAATGAAGAGTGTGTTAATATACTAACAAAATAAGCTATTTAGAGGGTTATATGGTTATGATATTGCTGATATTAAGTATACAGTTGCTGAGAATTACTTCAATTCAATTAATTTTTTAAAAAATTTTAAAAAATGAACCCATAAACACCCTAACATTTATTTCCTATAAATGATACCAAAATAACCTATCTAAAATTCACTTATAAAAATTTAAAATAATATATATTTAATATTTAATTTAATTAGTAAAACCATATCTAAGGACCTACTAAGAAACTTATTCACATACAAAAAATAATAACAAATCCTATTAAAAAAAATCCATATTTCCTTTTTCTATGTGAATAAATTTTTTATCAAATTTTTAAACATGATTATCTCAATTAAATTTCTATAAAAAAAATTAACAACACACCCTTGCTCCCCTGCATCGGAGGAGGTTAAATCTAATTTATTTTTTGGAGGAAACTTACATGCTTTAACATTAACATTATGTACTTTATATACATTTTTTTTAATTAAATCATACTCCCTCCCAAAGTATAAACAGCTTCTAGCAAAATTAACATACTAATAAAGTTTAAATTTTCATAAAAATATATATTATTTTCTCTTTTTACTCTAGCTTCAAGAACCAATGTACTTTATGATGAAGGAAGGATGTATTTATACAAATATATAGGTTAATAATGCAAGGAATAAAATGGAAATTTTTTTTTTACATGTACTAGGTTTTATATTTTTTGAACCAAGATTAACTAAAAAGAAATATTTATATTTTAAACTGGAGAGAGTAATTAATGTTGAAGTATAAATAATATAAATTACAAGACTATGTTATAAAATAAATAATATATAGAAAATATATTGTATAGATCTTGATTTGATTGAAAGCATGTAGTTTCAATATATAAGGCTAAGTATATGAATTTTTTTCTCATTTTTACTTGTCTTTCTATAAAAGGACAGCGAGTTTATTAAATTATTAAGTGGAAATGGATAAAATCAATTACATATCATTGTCTATATACAAACATGAATTAAAAATATAGTATGATGAATTGACAAGTTTAATTAATCCAGGGTCAGCTTTTGCTCAACTTATTTGACCAAACCAGCTAACAACATTCAACAAGTTTAATTTGTTTAGTAGGAAGAGGTTGTGGAGTCAAACCCTCGAAAATGTCTGATATGTGGATATAATGATATGCACAGATGGCTAGCTGATAAATAATCACTTATCCTATAAAATCATTTTAACATTCATTTAGTTTGTTGTAATAATTAATATATATTATTTTATGTCATAAAATTATAATTATATTTCAAAACCTTTGTTTGGTTTCATTATATTAAAACTTGCAATATAAATAATAAAATATAAAGAATTGCAATATTCACAGATTATGAATAATGTGGCTCGATTTTTTCAACAGAGAAACATGTTTAATTGGTTGAAAGAATAATATGATTTCATATATGATAGCATGGATGTTCAGTAAATAACTAGTTGAACAATTGATACTTCTGTTCAATGATAAAACGAATTAAAAATTAGGACACAATCATATAACCTAAATAATCTTGTGAAGCATTTCACTAAAATACAAAATTAATATCCAAAAAGTGAGTATAAAAATGAATGATGACACAAAATCATATAAATCTAAGTTTAAAGTGTCATTTTGTTTAAAATTAAAAAATAGCTTTAATTAAATTTAACATTTGAGTTGTTGGAGAATCTTAAGTTAATTATAAAGGTTTTGTTAGAAAAAATATATTTTTAATTTTTCATAAGTTATTTCAAATAGCTTATCAAATATATCCTTAATGTGTTATAGCCAAAAAAAAAAAATCCTTAATTAACTCTCCTTACAATTCTTTTTTTTTTTAAATTAAAGGTGCATGTACTGATTACTTAGAGATATAGGCGGGAATGAATTCACAACCTTACATTTATAAAAAAACTTACATGCTCCTAAATTACAAGGTCACTGGTGCTCTCCTAACAATTTTGTCAACAATTTTCTCATGTTTAGCTTAATTAAAATCTTTTTTTTAATTTTAAACAAATTGATCCTAAGTTTTCTTGTTATCCTGATTGGATTGGGATCCATGTGATTTAAATCCATTCACTCAATTAATGTCTTGATTATGGTTATTATATTTCATCAAAGTTTGAAAATTATTGTGATAATTTTTTTATTCAAAAATTTAGAACAATTCTTACCATTGAAACACTCCTCACATATACGTTCTCCTTTCCAAAAATTTATATTGACTTGATTTTCCATTCAACCTAAGAATAAAATTTTTGACAATCATTTGATTAAATTAATGATTATTATCGTGTCACATGAAATATTTATTGAGTAAATGAATTTGTCACACTTTCCAAATCTAAACCCACCATATTTTGGCAATTGAAAATTTTTCTCCAAAAAACCAATAGCTTGTTGGAAGAAAGATAAAATTTCTATGCAATTTTTTTAAAAAATAAAGTTTCTACTTCAAGGAGTAGTTCAAATTGACTAAGAAACTAAACTTTGAATAAAAAGAACAGTATGAATTTTGCCAAAGATTCTAGGAAAAATAGTAACTAAGGACCGTTAGAAAAAATTGATATCAATTAAAGATTGGTTTTTATCAAAACTCAAATAAAAAATAAATTTAAATAGACTGTTATTAATTTAAAATAAATTATTATTAAAATTTGAGTGGATATTTATTGATAAAAGACTAACTAACATTAACAAATATTCATTTAAATTTTGACAACAAGTAATTTTTAATTGATATAAATTTCCTCCAACACTCCTCGATAGATATTTTCCAAACATTCTAAATGAACAACATGTGGCATTGTGTCATGTTTATAGGATAACGTTCAAAGAAGTTGGGATCACCATATGAGTCATGTTGATGGCAACATATCTTTAATTGTACTCATCCTTCTTTAATCAACTTTGGATCTTTCTAGAGTTTTTTCACAAGTAACTTGGCTCTTATCTAAAGCCCTCATATGGTTATGATTATGATATAGGTTGGCCAAAAAAATATGGTTATGAAAAGAATAATGGGAACAAAAAAAATAGCGTTAAAATTACAACTAAACTTTATGCATTTAGCCAATATGGTAATGTCTCTAATTAAATAAAGATTTGTTGTTGATATAATGTGGGGCAAAGTTATTTTTAAGAGTTATTCACATTTATACTTACATAAAAATGTCATGCTTCTATAAAAGTGTTCGATTTATTTTTTTGGGACCACAAAGTATTAGGTTAACATTTACAAAAATCACATCCAAAAGTTGGGTACGTTACTTGGAGCAAAATGGTTTACATTTAAAAAGCGACACGTATCCTTTCATTTCAAATTGAAAAACCAACAAACTAAATAATGAATATATATTTTTTTAAGAAAAGTATGAAATTTATGAGTGGAATTCCAAAATATATCCAAATTTCATGGAAAGAACAACGTGGGAGTTGGGTCATATGAATTGGATAAGACTCATGAGTTGGGAGTGGGACCATTGATATGAAATCAGATAGAAGGGCGATAAGGTTCAAATATTTGAGCACCAGTCCCAAATGCAGAAATAAAACTTATAGGAGATCACGATCCTGTAGCGACAATGTATTTTTAGAGAAAATTATAAAATACCCTTGTTTTTTCTACACTGATATGTTGAAATCATTCATAAATCTTCAATAATCTGTACTTTGGAAATGAGTGCAAATAAGAAAAAAGGAACATTTTAATAATTTT